TTTCACAAATTGGGGGTGGATCTGAAACATATTCCTGGTGATAATCAGCACTTCATTGCCTATTACAATGGAGAGGGCCATACACCGAACAGCCAAAACATTCGCAGCGTTCCTCTAATCCTCTTGATTCTTCCCATGCTAGCTTTCTCTTTACAGATATTGGTACTGACCAATTGGGAGCTGCACACACCTCTCACCGCACTGTCTCAATTGTGACTGCACAAACAAGTCGCCACGCAGCTGTTGATGAGTCCAATCGGAATCAACTCTTCTTCCCACAGTCCTACAACAGCTAATCAGTAGAATGTTGCTTATCTGGAGGATAGGCTATAGAGAAAAATACTTGACGTGCGAGAAAGAAAAAAAATTGACTGCAATTTTTAAATCAGCATACGAATTTTACTTTCATCATCATGAAAATATAACGCAACAGATTCATTTTTTTTTTCCAAATTGTTCTCCAGCATTATTGACCAATTATCACAGTACACCTTGTTTTCGAATCACTCCTCTATTGAGTGTTACGAGCCAAGAATGTACTGAAGTTACCGGTATGTGAATATTTGTTCCACGTCATGCTTGTTTTCTTATATTCTGCCATCAGATGTGTCCTTTATGAAATGTTGGTGTCTTCTTCCAGCGTGAAAGAGATGGAGCGAGCAAGGTTGAGCTGCCCCATAACCCCGTTGGGCAGAGCTATGGCCTCCTTCCCCGTAGCACCGCGCTACGCCAAAATGCTGGCGCTGGGCCGGCAGCAGGAGTGCTTACCCTACGTCATCGCCGTGGTTGCCGCCATGACAGTCCGGGAGCTTTTTGAAGACCTCAACAGGTAAGGAGCACAAACGAATTGATTCAGTAACTCAGGGGTTCTCTTAAGTTCTTGGGTGCGGAGAGCCAGGGACTCCTTAATGGGAAGACAAGATTGTATGTTTGAGAACCTCTGCAATATATTTTTTCACCCTTTTTGATTTTGGATGTTCAGACCTGCAGGTAGCGAAGACGAGAGCTCCAAGCTATCGCATCGTCGTGCTCGGATGGTCCAAATGAGGAGGTTGTGGGCGGGTCAAGGGCCGTCACTCTTGCTCGGGGATATCATGGTCATGCTGGGTAAATTTGTTTCCTCTCACATGGCATGTGCGGCAAAAACCTGCACGAAACTCAGACCACACGTGTGCGTTTGACATCAGGTGCTGTCGGTGCGTGTGAGTTCGCCGGCTGCACTCCTAAATTTTGCGAGGAGAACGGCCTGAGGTACAAAGCTATGGTGGAGGTCCGCCGACTCAGGAGTCAACTCACTAATGCAGGTATTGAAACTCATTTGATTGCGTTTGTCATAGTCTAATATCTTGAGAAGAAGAAGAAAAATTATTATTCGTCTCACAATGGAGAAATTCGCAATTTATAGCAGTAAAAATTATGAGAAAGTAGAAAAACAAGTATGGTGAAGATGGTGAATTTGGATTTTTCATTTAGCTGTATACTATAATCATGAAAATTAACGAATGAAATATTTCAGTCTGATTGTAGTCCATCTATATCATTTATGGGATTTACTTGTTGAATTCAAGTGCTGAAATAAAGTCACTTTTGCATGATGGTTCTCATTTCTTGAAATCCACCAGTGGTCAGTGTCAGTGTTCATAATGTGGTTTCTGCTCAGTGGCAGAAACACATGATATCCTTTTCTATTTTTTCCCAGTGAACAGCGTTTGCCCCGATATGGGAGTGTTCGTCAACCCCAAAATGTCTCCCCCTACGGCGCACCAGGTGGTCTGCTTGCGACAGATCACTCTAGCAGGCCTCGGTGACCATCTGGCGAGGAGAATCCAGGCGGAGGAATTGTTAGACCCGAAATGGAAGGACGCTTACAAGGTGTGTTTTAGATAACCCTAACTGCCAACACTTGTGCTACCATAATTTCTACCCTTTTTTTTTCTGTACACAGACACCACTCATGGATGACCCGGTGTTCATTCACCCGTCCTCACCGCTGTTCAAAACGCTGCCCGAGTTTGTCGTCTACCAGGAAATAATGGAGACCACCAAGATGTACATGAAAGGTCAGGGAGCGCGCCTACTTTTTGTGTGTCGTATACAGGGAGTACTTGACTCAACCCATATTGCATGTTTTTGTAAGTCCTGCGATGTGATTGGACCATAGCAAAAATGCGTTATAATTTGATGAAAGCAAGGTGTAACTTTTGGGTCATAATTCCAAAATGCATCATCATCAGAAGAAGCCCATCCCAACAGTGAAGCATGGTGCTGGCAGCGACATGCTTTTTTTTTTTCTTCATTTGAAAATGGGGTCTTTAGACAAGGTGGAGGGAATTATGAAGAGTTCCAAATAGCAGTCGGTGTTAGCACAAACAGGAAAAGCCAATTAGATCAGCAGTGGAATTTTATTTGGGGCTATTCACTGGTACTTTAAACGGTGGCAAACGTGAGTTTGAATGTGATTAGTTAATTCAGCCACATCCCCAGGTAAAAGAGGGTGTGCGCACTTATGCAACCACATGATTTCAGCTTTTTTTTTTTACTTCTACTCAGAAAAAAGAGTTGGGTAGGCATTATTAGATTGTGCAAGTGTACTGAACGTAAAGACTTAAAAGCCAAATTTCCCCTTCAAAGCCTGTTTTTGCAAGTTTCTGCCTCATTGGTGATTTGATGGTTGTGTTCCCGTCAGGTGTGTCTGCCGTCGAAGCCGAGTGGGTCCCTCAGCTCCTGCCTCAGTACTGCCATCTTGACCCTCCTCTGGAGTCACCGGCGCCGTGGTTTTGTACCTCCACAGGCGGAATCAGGTGTCATCGCTCAAGCACCTTCTGTAAGCGGGAGCGAGAACGTCGCCTTTCAGTCTGTCTTTTGTCCACTCTTGACACGAATGGCACACTTGGTGTTTTCGCAGTCCGAGTGGCGTGGCAGCTTCCCGCGGTGGAGATGGAGTATCCCGATGGTCTGGAGAGATACAAACTGTTTGCTCAGTTTATTCTAGATGGGCAGGTACTACCGACAGGCTCGATTTTCACTGTTCTATCTGCTCAAAAACATCAGTTACGTTCATATAGTTTGATGACTATTATAAACCTCTCTCTTTGCGGCTTCTCCCGCACTGAGGATTTTTATGGCTAAGTTTTACAATACTACAACAGTTCTAGTCAATATGTTGGATACACTATGCCTGACATAGACTTTAGACTGTATTTTGTAGTTGGATGTTAACATGCAAGTAATAAAAAGTCGTTACTCTAAAAAGTGCCATTTGAGTGAAACTTAAGCCATGTTCCTGAAAATTGTGTGCATGTGTTTTTTAAATGTTTCATTAAAAATCTCAATTGCTAAATATCATGGCATGGTTTGACTTTACAGATGTCATGTGTAAAGCCTTGGTGGTGGTCTTGAGTTTTCATGTGTGCTGTGCAGGTGTGTCCGAAACTGAAGGCCCACAGGAGCCATCTGCTGTCAAACCCCTCCATCATGATGAAATCATGGGCTAAGTAAGTCAATGCTCACATACACGCGTAGCTTTCTTGTCTGCAACAATACAAAAAAAAATTTGTCTGACTTCTCTCTTTGTGCTGTAGGCTGCAGCCCAGGACAGAAGCTGTGCTGGGAGCTCTGGTGTCGCAGAGAGTCGACTGCAGAGACGCTCTCCTCGCCCTGTGGAAGACTGACAATAAATGTACGGACTTGATATACTGTAGCTGCCAAGATGGAGTGTCAGAATTTGTTTAACACGTTTTTGCCTCATCTTATTTTCTCCCCACAGTCTTGCTGTCTGCATATTGCATGTGGCTACCTGAGGCCATGCATCAGGATGTTGCCAAAACTTGGCCACCAGTATAAAGGCCAACTTCTGAATGGAAAGAAGTCCTGCATTCATCGTCCGGTTGTCATTGAATGACCATTTTCACTTTGTTGCATTTTACAAACTCTCTGTACATGTATTTTATGAAAGACAATACCTCAATTACGGTTCAGCTGAATTTTAATTGTACCCCCGTTATAATCATGTACATCTGATTTGGTCTTCATAAGACTCATTAAAATATTAGTACTTTGTGTTTTATGAAGAACAAAAGCCCCGGTGCACGATGCTGCCACTTCACTGTCGGTATGGTGTTCTTTTGGTGACTGTTGAGCAGTGTTGTGTTTACAACAAACAAACCTTTTTGTAATTTTGGCCAAAAACTTCAACTTTTGTTTCATTGGATCATAACACGTTTTCCCCAGAGTTGGGCTTGGATGTTTTTCTTTGTAAAATAAGTCTTGCCAGCCTACCCCATAGCCAAGCCTCAGACATATGAAGATGGGAGATTGTTGTCACTTGTCCTAAACAGCCAGTCCTTGCCAGAATGGTGTTCCTTGGTATTTTTGCCAGGAATAACTTACGAGTAGAACACCTTAACTTTGACGTTATTCAGAGACACATTCATTGTGCTGAATTTGAACACGATTGGTTAATTCCCGGTCACTTTTACAGTTATAAGCACATGTGTACACTTTTGCAACCTCTTTCTCAGTTTATTTTTCATTCCTCTTTGAAGGACTTTTTCAATTAAGTTATACAAGTTATACGTCACATTGATGGTGGATTTTTTTTTTTTTTTTTTAAAGATTCAGCTTGGAAAAGGTGTATTGCATATAAATATTCATTTGAACTTTGTGTACATTTCAGAGTCTCTTTTTTTAATATTTAATTAGGTGTAAAATAGTCTAAATGCAGATGAAAATAAGACAACGTCATATTTTCATCTAATGTATGTACCGTTCTGTTTAAAAATCAAACAAAACGCGAATCAGTCCTACTTTTACCGGAGTCTGTTCAGACAAGTATTTTTACCTAAGTACTTTTGCCACCCCTGCTTGAACACTACAGCATTGGTCAACTATTTACACTAAATATTTCACTATTTCACAGCAAGAAAAATTGGGTTTTTGTTTGTTGGGTATAAAATTGTGAGTGTGATGTTACTAGCCGACGATTGGTTGACACCCGTTCGTCACCTTACGTCACATGTACTTCCGGTTTGGGCGGAAGACAACAGAGGAAACACTCGGCTTCTATGTAAATGTCAAAATAGCCTAACACAACCTCGTATTCTTGTTTTGGGCTTCGAGGGATCAAAGACAACCACGTCGATATGGTAACTAAGGCTTTTATGTGTCGCCGCTGACGAAGCCGTCCAAAAACTACTCCAACTCGACGCTGTTAAGCTAGCTGCCGCTCCGAAGAACAACACGGCCAAAACACGCACCGTCATCATGTCACTTAACCCGAACAAACCACCATTTTTTCAGTTCTGTCTCATGACAACCTGTTGTCGGTCGTAACAAGTTTGCTTTTCCCCCCTACAGTTTTCCTTCCACGTCTTAGATCACCCGATGTCCCGTGGCTTCCAGAACCGCTTTTCCACTCAGTACCGATGCTATTCTGTATCGATGCTGGCCGGTCCCAACGACCGCTCCGACGTGGAGAAGGGAGGCAAAAGTAAGTTGCAACCATGCATGATGCCATGTGATGCACAGTGATGTTAAAAAGTGTATGTGTGGGATGTACACAGAAAACTGCCCGAAAACAGTAGTATCTTGACTTACAATTGACCCGTCTTACGAGTTTTTGAATACAGTACTTTCGTTTGTTTATTGAACATAAAAACATACAGTAATAAATTGACAGAAAGTAAGGTAAGTAAAATAATAAAAAGGAAAGAGAAATCAGTCATCATTCAACACAATTATTATGTTCAAGGGAGTAGGAAGAAGTAAAAAACGTATCTAGTCCTACCCCGTGTTATGTAAATTTCTTCGAAAAAGATCCATCCATTCTCGGCCATCAAAGCAATCAACTGTCAAAACGGTAAACATGGTGATAACGGAGCTGTCTTCTTGTGCCACATGACCAAATATTGTATATTGGGATAAACAAGCTTCAAGCGCTCCATTCATAGGTCTAAAATGATCTTTGCCCAGATCGTTGTAACTTCAGGACACCCTGAAAATGGAGAGAGGGCGAATGTAAACTGTTTAAAAATGCATTGGTTTGATGTAGGGTTGAAGCGGTTTATGATAACTAAAAATCATGTTAACATTTCAGATCAATGGTTTTACTGTTTCATATTTTGATTGAGTTTAGATTTGGTGCAATATTAAACAAATGGAGAAATAAGACTAACAATAACAAAGAAAAGGTGACGGTGACGACAAGCTTTTTTGTTTTTAATATTTTTGTTGTGATATTTTTAAATATTGTTTGATTGTCATTGTGTACCTGGTGTCCAGTATTTTTCAATTTTTTCTGAAATATTGCATTATCGCCATGAGAATATTTAATCCGAGTAATCACAAATGATGTATTTTTCACAGTCATAATGCCACCTTCAGCGCTTGACCAGCTCAGTAAGTGTTGACCCAACATTTCCACTTGAAATGTCCTTTTTTTTTTTAAGCTTCTCCCATAACAGTCTCTGTGTTATCCACCTGTACAGGCAGACTTAATATCACCTATCCGATGCTGTTCAAGCTGACCAACAAGAACTCAGACCGAATGACACACTGTGGCGTTCTCGAATTCGTAGCGGATGAGGGAATCTGCTATCTGCCGCACTGGGTGAGACGAGACGAGACACAGCGAGAATTGTCATGAAACACACAATGATGCAAATAAGGCGACCTCGTTAGGAACCCCATCTATTGTCTTTAATTCATGTAAATAGATCCCTGGCACCCTTTTTTATATACAGTGGTCTTTCCACTCTCTTCATTTCCTTCTCAGATGATGCAAAATCTGCTTCTGGAAGAAGGTGGTCTGGTCCAGGTTGAGAGCGTTAACCTCCTGGTGGCCACCTACTCCAAGTTCCAGCCACAGAGTCCTGACTTTTTGGACATTACAAACCCCAAAGCAGTGTAAGGACTATGACGTCACAACACCCAACTGATTCTGTTCTGCGTGGTTGTATGTAATGTGTCTGTAAAAAGCATTATTTTACCATTCTTTCAGCCTGGAGAATGCTTTGAGGAACTTTGCGTGCCTGACCACCGGAGATGTCATAGCCATCAACTATAATGAAAAGGTACACAGATCCATGCCTTATGTTGACAAGGACATCATTGAGATGTGGCAGGCAAGGCTATTATAGGCACACTTAACATCAACATGGTAGTATCAAATTCCATGGTAGTACCTGTTGTTATCCATCCATCCATATTCTAATCCGAAGTACCCGAACAAAACCCACGCAGGCACAGGAAGAACATGCAAAGTCCAAACAGTAAGGCCGTAGCCGGAATAAAACCCTGCACCTCTGCACTGTGAGGCACACATGCTAACCAGTCAGCCCCTGTTACTATTATGATTATTTTGTTTTTTTTTTTTATCTTGGGTGCAATAAATGAAGCTTTTGTTTGGGTGTGGTGCTCTAGCTCCCCACAAAGAAAAATTGTATTTCTTTCAGATTTATGAGCTGCGAGTAATGGAGACCAAGCCAGACAAAGCAGTATCCATCATTGAGTGTGACATGAATGTAAGTATGTTTTTTTTTTTTCGATCCAGCGTGTGATGAAAGTGTGTTTCAGTGCAACTTTGTCTATGTGTTGCCACTCCCAGGTGGATTTTGATGCACCGCTGGGTTACAAAGAGCCTGAACGCCGGTCTCAGCAGCATGAAGAACCGACCGTATGCGCCGCATTTAAACTTGCCTATTTCTACATTTAAAAAAAAAAAAAATGTAATCTTCGCCACAAAATGTCCGTTTTTTTGTTTTTTTTTTCGACCTTAGGAGGAGGATGCAGATCCGAGCACTTACGCCGATATGGACACGCGATTCAGAGTGAGTATTTCTTACTGGGGTTGACTTGTGTGTTCACGTCTTCATCTTGATGACAATGCGTGTGTGTTCTCCTCAGGCCTTCACTGGTTCTGGCAATCGCTTGGATGGTAAAACCAAAGGGATTGAGCCCAGCCCTGCTCCTCTGGGCCCCAGCGACATTATCAGGTTCACACAGACTGTTTTCAATATAGACCCAAAGTGAATGGTGGTACTTTATACATATGTATATGGATGGGTGTGTGTGTGTGTGTGTGTGTGTGTAATTGCGGTCATTATTTCATCATATTGAGTCAGTCTATGATGAACTGATTAAGCAATAAAAAAAAAAAAAAAAGTAGCCAATCATATTGTTTTGTCATGCAGAGGTATCCCCAACTACGAGTTTAAGGTTGGCAGGATCACGTTCATCCGAAACTCAAGGCCACTGCCAAGAAGATTACCTGAGGATGTAAGTCTTGTTAAAATTTTCAGCACATTACAGTTACAATGTAAATCATATTTCAGGGTATTTGCAAGTGAAACCTTTTGTTTTACCGCTCAGGATGACGCTATGAACAGATTCATCGCCTTTTCCGGGGAAGGACAATCATTACGCAAGAAGGGCAGAAAGCCATGACGGGGTTCTAGCGAGGAAGCGATTTGTTGGCTCATATACACACACACACACACACACACGCAACATGTATTGCCACCTACACCTGCAAAGTGAAAACTTTCTTTCAGGTGCACTGGGACGTTGACGTCTCGGATGCTTTGAAATTGCAGTTGTGCTGTGGAGGTGACCTTGTACTTGATTACGACCGGGGCGGTCCCCTTTTTTTTTTTTTTAATGTTCAATTGAAGCTGAGATCCGTAAAATGCTGCCAGCAGTGATTTTTGTACCCCCGAATGTGTTAGTGGTTGGTTTGAATTCTTTTACCAAAACATGACCGAGATTCACTCTTGAAGCATCTTTATTCGGATTTGAATTGCCTCTTACTTGAAGGTTATATTTGCCGGCTATTTTCCCATTGGTAATATCTGCAGTCCACCTCATTAATACTGCTGCCCCATTATGGTCAGTTATTGTGACAAAATGGGTGCAATATTTTTTGAACTTGTTTTTAATAATAATGAGAAATGTGTTTGCATTTTTTCCTGAGTTGTTTAGGGATCTACAAGTGTTTTCTTTTTAATTATTTATAGATGAATAAAGGATTGTTAAAAGTACATTCGGCATCCTCGTGGTTATAGAATGCAACATGAACGGGACAGCACACTCATTTGTCACTGTACTTGCTGCTATTCTGCATTGCTTTATACATACGGTTTAGGGGCCATTTGCAGCCAGCTGTCTTTTTTTTCCCATCGCATAGCATGTATTAAAATTGCTTTTGATATGCCCCACAATGGTATTTAAAAAATAGATGTTTACAAAAACATGAAGTGACTTGAGTAATCGATACTAGCACGACTATTACTAATACATGTTTTTAGACATGCAAAGACACAAATACATTTACAGCTAAAACAGTTACAATATATTTTCATAACGCTGTGGAGAAAAAAGACAATTCCGTTTCAGAAACAAAAAAAATGTTTTTTTTGCGCCACGGCCGTCGTATTCCAATTTCGTCGTAAACCCAAGACTTCTTGTGCCCTGCTTCGCTCACGGTTGCGTTTTTAATTTGTGTAGGAATTCTCAAAGTCACCCTTTAAAATGAAGCAATACTTTGGGATAAGGTATATGGTACAAATTATGCATAAATATTATGATGGACAGCGTCAAAACATTTAATGAAATGCATTCATAGTCAATGCAATATTTTCCCGTTGTCGAGCATGGAACTACGAGCGATGTAAAAACAAGCGTAAGTGAACGCATCCATGGTTAGCACGACAAGCTAGCAATGGAGAAGTCTGAAGGGAAAGCATGGAGGGTAAAATACACACTGACGTACTGCAACATTTATTTATTGAGCTAGTAGTGTTCTCGGTGATCCGCTCTTAAATATCGCCTGGTGGTAATGTTAGTCTAAACTGTAAATTAGCAAGGTGATGTGTTCGTGTTGCTAACATGACCACTTTAGCAACAACTGAATGACAGCTGTGAAGTCATATTTTCTTGATGCATTCACAAGTGAATTTTATATTCATTAATGTGTATTTCTAGACAAATTTCCATATCGATATTTCATCTTGCATGTCTTAATGTTTGACATTGATCCTAAAAACGTCTTGTATGTATAATTGTCTTTCTGGGCTAATTTACTTGCCTTAAATTACCGTGAAACCGTGATAATGTTTTTGCTCCAAATACTTATGGTTGTGCTATTCATCGTACAAACAATGTCCTATAACAACAAAGTAAAATACGACTACTACTACTACTAATAATAATCATAATAATGATCACCTTTCCTGGGTTTGTGTTGCAGACCCCACGTGCCTGCAGCGACTACTGGAGTGAATATAGACACTGCAGGAGCTTGTGGAATCGTTTCCATCACTACTACACTTATGGTACCTCTCCATCCTGCTATCAGTGGAAAGAGGACTATTACAACTGTAAAGCATGCGAGAAGAGCACAGGTGGTGAGGCCAAGGTGAAAATATTTTTCATGATAGACGTGCCATTCATTTTTCTTGATATTCAAGCCATTTTGGCTGGGGAAAATAGGTCATAGATATATATGAACCAAAAGCGTACATCTGTTCTCATACTTGTAACCATGGTCCAACCCCCCCCCCCCATTCCTCTTCACCAGCCTAACCTATACCAGGGGTGTCAAACTCATTATTGTTGTGGTCCCTGTTGTAGTTCCATTTTCCCCCAGGAGGTTGTTATGAAACCATATATTACAGTTCACAACAAATTAATGGATAACTACTTTAGAAATCAGAAGTCAAGATTAACGTTTCAAGTCACTGCAATAACCAAGTGTTTGCAGGAGCTCATGGTTATTTATTTGAAATTTTGAAACAGATTTTAGCAAGCATTATGGAAAGTTGACATGCTTGATTTGCTTTTGGGGCCACGTAAAATGATGTGGCGGGCCAGATTTTGACCCAGGGGCCTCAGGCTTGACACCAGTATATACCTTTTAAGTCATGTCAGCCATGTGGAGATACCTAAGGTAAACAAGGCAGATGACTAAATTTTTCGGCAATTAAAAATTACGACTTGGAAAATGGATGATGGAACTCTCATGGGGCAACAGAGGGATCAGTGGTGCATCATAATGTTCCTTTTACAAAGTAAAATAGTCATCTGCAAACACTGAATTGGGATTCCCATCTGTTTTACAGGAAGCGCTGCAGAGAAGCGAAAGGAACAGAGTAGCAGAACAGAGAAAGTTCTCCCCGGTGTGGGAGCTGAGGCGAGACCCACCCAGCGACTGGCACCTGCCACTCAACCATGAAAAACCTCAGGACTCTTGAACCGTCATACACAAATGACGCGGTAACTATCAACAAATAGAATTGCAATCTTTATTGTCACTGCACAGTGCTGTACTGTATATATCACAAATGAATGAGGTGTTCAAGTCAAGTATCAAGTACAACTTTATTGTCAAATGTGCTGTATACAGCACAGATGAAATTTCTTGCCTCTCACAACATACAACAAGTGTTAAAGTACGAAACACTTGGGAATTTAACTCAGGTTATTCCTTATTGCTGTTTTGTGTGCAATGTGGAGCGCTTCGGTCCTTAAGACAAAATAAAACAACAAATGTGACAAGTCCAACCTCATTGAATGACATGTTTGCATCATATTGCGCACATTGTCGATCCCATAGTTGTACGTTTATGACAACTGTTCCATTTCTCCTGGAAAATAAAACAACACTAAACTATATGCACCGCACATCACTGTGTGTAGACTTTAGTGATGTCGGTGTACTTCCCGTCGGGTGCTTCGTAGTTGGCCTTTGGCGGTGTGTAAGCGGGGCCCTCGCGGGAGAAGGGGAACATGAGGGGGTCTGGTTGCAGCGCTGCCTGATAAAGCTCCTCTGATTCAGTCTTGAGCTCGTCCATTGCCTCCCTCTGGGCTTCGAGGGCAAGCTGAATGGCCTGCATCTCAGCCAAGTGCTGCTCCTGCAAAAACAAACAAACAAACATCATATGTTGCCCGCAAACTGTATGTTTTTGTTTTTTTTTGGGCTTTTGTTAAGGGGAAGGCGATTACATGTTTGTATCGACCCCATTCTTTAAGTAGCAGAGCTCGGCTTTCACTTTCATCAAACGACAGCCTGGGAGCGGAGCGGACCCTTTGGAGAAACAACAAATTCAGTCTTAGGAAGTTTTAATTTAAAAAAATGTTCCCATCAAGAATAAGAACAGTGAATTGATCAGCATAAACCATCAACAATTCAAAAACCTTTAAAAGCTGTACAGGACAACAACAAATAAGTGATTTCATGTTAAGGTGTCATAAAATATTTTAATGATGTGAAAAATTATGAGATTGTACCTGGTCTCATCCAAACATTTGGTTGGGGTGATGAAGTCCTCGATTGGGATCAGTTCGGGGGGAACCCTCTCCAACTTTTTCAACTTTTTCTTCAGCCTCTCCCTCATCACCTGCTCTCTTCTGGGGTCTACTTTCTTCTTCTTCTTGGGCTCCGCACTTAAAGGACACACATGTACAATGTACTATTACCAATAATACTTGAACAGCTCTGCAAAAGACAGTGCGATATTTTTACATTCGTGCTCAAGGCTTTTTATATACATTTGCTTTTATTTGATACAGTCAAACACAGTTTCATTATAAGAGAGAATCATGTGTTCTTTTTAACCAAAACCAAAACTTATTCGCGTTAGCTAGCTTATGGCTAACACACGATGCAAAAGGCCATAGACTGGCTAATTAGCATCAATGTTGTCCTACTGATAAGCTTTTTAGCAGTGGATATTTGAATCGGTGCAGCAACACATAGACAATATAACAAATGAAGATGATTTGTGCCAAGGCTGTATCTTGATAAAAATACATCGGTCGTTGGTCTTTGGTTTCAGTGAAATTCTGGGCTTCTAAAAGCACATTGCTGCATGTCCGAGCAAAACATTTACCCGAGGGGAGCAGACGTCCTCAGTGTCATCACTGAAGTCAACCAAGGAACGTGAACGCCACCATTTTCTACCGATACACCACTAACAAGGCACAAACAGCAAGAAAGACACAAGGTAAGGCCAAACAAGCTGCAGAAGCAATGGTCCAAGGAATAACCTTTAGCCGCCAGGGCTTTGGCTTCCGTCAGAAATCGCTTTCTAAACTCACCCCATCAGAGCGGTCTGTCGAGATAAAATGCGACCTACATAGCGAGTTAAAGCCGCAGCCATGATTTTCAGTTCACTCAAAGAACGAACTTACAAGAAAGGAAGAGAACTATAATTTCACATGTACCCACACATCATTTCACTGGGCAAAGACGCGGCGCTGGTTGATGACGTACTAACTGACAGCGAGCGAGCTTTCATTTTGCTCGAGCATATTCGCGAATTTTAAAAAGGAGCATAAATAATAACTACTTGAATTTTGTTCCACTTTTTTGTAGTAATATTGGTGTAGTAATATTTAGTGGACACCGCTGTGGATAGGGAATCGTGAAAATCCGCGTTGAAATGACACCCATTATAAATCCGGTGATTTTTTTAAACCTATTTTTGTATTATAAAAAATAACGATAAGTTATCAATGAGCGTTTTACATGAAAAACGGGGGTTGCCCCCCGCAAAAATATATATACTCTTTTTTTTCTTTTTTTTTCTGAAAATACGCGAACGTGTTTGTACGTGTACGTATGTGTGTGTATGTATGCGTGTGCGTGTGTGTATATGTATGCGCGTGTGTGTGTGTGTGTGTGTGCGCGCGCGCGCGTGTGTGCGTGTGTGTGTGTGTGTGTGTGTGCGCGCGCGCGCGTGTGTGCGTGTGTGTGTGTGTGTGTGTGTGTGTGCGTGTGTGTGTGTGTATACACGTTTCCTTACTTATACAGTATTTTAATAAATGATAGCTATGGCAATTTGAATCTTGGTATAAAGCCTTTTTTTTCCTTAAAGATAGCCCTGATCTATTTTCTTCATTTCTCTTGACACCTCAGGAGGTGAGTCATGTAACCTCATTAAAGATGATTATTTTTTAATGAGTTCACACCATGTGTTGTACGGTGAAGGGTCTTCCCCAGGTCTGCCAACACGGCACAGGCTAGGATGCTCCCGTCAGACGTGCAGACCTTTGGGTCACTCTTGTGCATTCACATGCCAATTTAATCAAGTTTCACCGCAGCACACAGGAATCGGTTTCAGGGTAGTACATAAATTAAAGATGCCCACAAAGAACAAAAAAACAAAGCAGAGAGTGATGGAGGAAACCAAAGATGTGGATGACGAGGACTTGGAGGATAGGCATTTGAAGTCCAAGCGGAAAAATCAGAAGGTGAGTGAGGAGTCCGCAGAACGAAGGAAGAATAAGCAGCACCAGAAACACAGTGACGAAGAAAGCCGTAGCTCAGACGTATCAACCGATGTCAAAGGAAGAATGACAAAAGGACAAGTTGAAAACAAAGTTAAGAAGAAGAAAAGCAAAGCGGTGAGCAAAGATGATCTCAGCGATCAGTCCCCGAGCACAGACGATGAAGCCAACAACAACGGCAAGGGTAAAAAGAGTGTGGGCAATCTTCCTGATGTGATTGTGACCACTAAGAAAGCATCGAGTCGGCCTTCGAAAGACATAATGGGGTCAAAGGATAAAAAATCCAAGAAAGACTCAGAGAAAGAGGAAGAACAAGCAGCCCGGGATAAGGAGGACGCGAAGAAGAAGAAGAAGGACAAGAAGAAGAAAGGATCTGTCAACAGCGATGATGACAGCAGGAAGACAAAAGGGAAGAAGAAAAAAGTGGAAAATTACGTGGAAATCTATGAGTGTGAGCTTCGGAATTACCAGGCAGAAGTGATGGAGAACTATGAAGATGAGTACCACAAAAAGAAAGGTATGGCCTTGACTTGAAACCACCTTTAAAACTGAATATCATCAATTCCGAGACAATGAAATGCTCATTTTGTCAGAGAAGAAGTGATGGAGGGCATACTGTGTGCCTATCACACTTTTTTTTTTTTAGCACTGTGGTCTTGGTAATGTTACACACAGAAAATAGATTGGCTACAGAGCGTAGAGAGCATTTGTAAATCAGGCCCTTCCATTACAGACTATGGCAAAAAAAAGTCACGTCTCACTTTGGCAAATGTGGAAAAAGACACACCTAAACAACGGATGTGCTCCTTTTTTGTTGTTGTTGCATCATGCTTTCTAAAACGCACTCATTCTCGTCCGTTCAACCTCTCAGTATATGAAGTGTTGACCATCACGGGCGATGAGAGAGGAGCAGGCACAGATGCAAATGTGTTTCTCACACTCTTCGGAGAATTCGGCATCACTCCCAAAGTCCATCTGGCCAGCAAGTGAGTTTCTCTTGGAAAAGGGATTTTCACTAATATTTGCTTGTTACCATCCAGTTTCCATGGTAAAACATTTATCTCGTATGACCAAATTTGACTTAGGATAACTGCGCTGACTCTTTTCTACCGAACTAAACTGTGCCCTTTCATTTTATCCGAACAGCACAGAAAAAAGGTACGTTTGTCTTGTGATGTCCTGTTACATTGGATCTTGTGTTTGCATGATTTGCACGCCCTTTTGATTTTGCCCCACGCAAAACATTTCCACCTTTTCAGGAGCCGCACTGCGTTTGAGAGGGCCAAAAACGACGTCTTCAGAATAAGAACCCACAACGTTGGCTCCTTGAAGAAAATACGGTAGAGTGAAGCCATATTTTGCGTCATGACCATTGACGACCGCAATCGCTTCTGTTGTCTGACTTCAGGATTGAGCACGACAACACGGGCCTGAATGCCAGCTGGTTCTTGGACAGGGTGGTGGTGACGGATGTGATCAGGCCTCACCTGAGGTACTACTTTGCTTGTAACAACTGGCTCAGTAAAGCAGAAGGAGACCGCCTTTCTGTTCGAGATTTACTGGGCACCGCGGACCCCACGGACATACCCAAATGTAAGAAACACTGACTGCGTGTTTTTGTTTTTTTTGTGTTGTTGTTTTTTTTTTTTTTTTTTTAATAGATCAATTCAGTTGATTTTAGATATTTTGTCATGTTTTGTTCATTTGACAGATAATAAGTACATGGTCAGCGTATTCACCGCAGACATAAAAGGTAGCGGAACAGATGCCGATGTCTTCATTAATATCTTCGGAGAGTTTGGAGACACGGGTAAGAAGAACGAATTAGAGGTTGTTCTCCTTTGCGAGAAGCGGCTATTTTCAACGATTCATTTGTTGAGAAAATGCAGTTCCACCGCACTTAAAATCGAATTGAACTGGAACATTTAAAAATATTATTCCAAAAATGTCTTTAGAAAAAAAAGTGCCTGTATTTAGTTTACATAGAGTAGACTGGAGTTGAGTCAAGATCATCATCATCTGCAGAAAAATGCTATGCGGTACATTACTGGTTGATTTGCTCTTGGAAAAAAATGCCATGACACTTGGGGTTTCAATGTTTGATTTCACAAATCTTTGTTTATTTGTTTTAGGAGAAAGGCTACTAAACACAGACAAAAACAACTTTGAGAAAGGCACTGAGGATAAATTCACCATTGATGCCCCAAACTTGGGGAAAATAAGGAAGATCACCATCGGCCATAATAACAAAGGCTCTTCTGCGGGATGGTTCGTAGATAAGGTAGAACACACCCATGAAAAAATAATAATAATAATTGCATGCAAAACGTTTGCTTCAAGGAACTGAATAGAAATAATTCGTGAAAGTAATTAAAGAAAAGATCTTTCCTAAAAATCATGTTAACCGTCATAATTAAAAAAAAAAAAAAAAAAAAGTTGGTGCACTTCACTGCACTTCAGTTGGAGGCACTTAAGATACGTGATCCTCTTATTCCTTTCAGCAGTCCTCCCATTTGAGTCACACACAGCGTACAACGACATGAGCTCATTCCAACTATTGCATTCATGCACGCACATTTACACACACACACACACACACACACACACACACACACACACACACACACACACACACACACACACGCACACATGATGTCATCCTAGCCAACATGTAAAAGGAAACCCCCATTAAGGGATTAGCTTCCATCACACTGTCATACAAGTTGGTAGATTTGCAGTGCTGACTGACACCAGAACTCAGGTAACATTTACTACGTTCCTTGGCAGCCAGGGTAACTTAGCCTTTTGCCCAACATGTAGTGTGCCCCCAACGCGTGTCACATTTGCATATCCCATCTGACGACGAAACTTACAGTCGAAGTCTGGCAGTCGACGAGAATGTTGTTTGTATAGCTGACATTGATGGAAGTGATCACCATTTCCATTCCAAGAAAATGCATTCGTAAGCAATCGCTGAGAAGGCAGATTGATTTCCTGTCACGAGCAAGCTTGTGATCAATGTAACGTCATGACGTAAATAAAGTAACAGCAATGTCCTCTTTGCTGTTGTCATTTTAAGGTAACCGTAGATGATCTGGGAAACAAGCTCGTCTACGAATTTCCTGTCAATCGTTGGTTTGCCATTGATGAGGATGACGGCAAGATACAGAGAGACATTTTGACGGGAGGAAACCAACCCACAGGTAACCAAAAAAAAAAAAAAAATTGAATAACAAATATTTTTATTGTTACAACAAAATCTTGTTGATTTTTCATTCAATCGTGTTTTAATGTTCTTTCTATTGGATTTGTGAACCATAGTGACACAACAAGCAGGCTCACATGTAACTATTCTTGTCAGGGATCGTGTACAACGTCCAGATTGTAACCGGAAACATCCGAGGAGCTGGGACCAACTCCAAAATCCACATAGTCATGCATGGCAGCAAAGGCTTGAAGAATAGCGGCAAGGTCAGTCCATTACACTCTTTTTGTGTTTGTGATGCCTCGTCATCAGCTGGGTTTTGTTAAAAAAAAAAAAAAAGCCAAACCAAAGGACCATTTAATTTTGTGTTCAGGTGTTTCTGGAGGGAGGCAAATTTGAGCGTGGCCTGACTGACATCTTCAATGTGGAGATAGCCGCACTACTCAGCCCCCTCAGCAGGGTGACCATCGGACATGATAATGACGGGGTCAGTGCTGGCTGGTACTGCGAGAAGGTAAAATCCATCCACCCGAGAAATAAAGCGTCAGCGACTGAATCGTTTCGTGGCTTGTTTTGCAGGTGGTCGTGTATTGTCCATTCACGGGCATAGAGCAGACCTTCCCCTGCTGTAAATGGCTGGATGAGAAGGAAGGAGACGGCCTGATTGAGCGAGAACTCTACGAAATGGTCTCACTCAGGCAGAGAAAGCAAAAAAGTATGTTCAAATCTTCAGCAGTAAAACGGTTTGCGATAAAAGATGAATTCAAGCCAAACAACGTTCAGTGTTGTGTTTACTCCCTTTAGAGCATCCCTGGTCCTTATGGATCTGGACATCTGACCTGGCAAATGCCGGAAGCGACGCAGATATTTATTTCCAGGTGTACGGAGACAAGGGCAAGTCAGATGAGATAAAACTCGACAACAAAACAGACAATTTTGAGAGAGGACAAGTGGACAGGTTTGTGGTAAGTACATTTCACCAAACACCCACTCGTCACACTTTAAGCGCACGTATTATTGCTTCGTAGAAATCATCACAGCTTTTCTGTTGCAGGTTGAACTGCCTGATTTGGGAATTTTAACCAAACTCCGTATCTGGCATCAGAGGAGAAATCCTTTTGCGGGATGGCATCTAAGTAAGGTGAGGCCGAACTGACGTTTAACCTTTTCATGCACCCTGTAACCTGATCACAAGATAAGCTGTCCACTGTGGTACCTCTATTTACGAAATTAATTGGTTCTGGAAAAAAATTTCTGAACTAGAAAATTTTGTAAGTCGAGATGCGTTTTCCATGTAAATGCTCTAATCCGTTCCAAGCCCCCCCAAATTCAGACATAAATGTTTTCTAAAGCATAAAAATGCATCAAAATATGTAACAAATACATGTTACAATTACATTATTGCACAATAAATGAGAATTGTGCATCATGTAAAAAAACAAAGAGTAAAGAATAAAAAATGATGGTCATTTAACTTTTGACTGCGTCCTCGTCGTTTTTTAGCCGTCTTTAGTTCATATTGTCTCTCAGAAGTAGTTTTTGACTGCCGTTTTGTAAAGAACTGATCCAAGGACGTTCCCTTTTGTCGGTTTTTAACAATCCTTTGAAAATGTCCAAGGCAAACATCAGCATAGCGAGCGATCGCCCGACTGATGAACACTTTTTCTGGGTGACTCACATTTACATAAAATTATCGGAACGCCTCATGGCCGGAGGGGCGACTGACGAAGACACTGCATAAACACAGATCTATCTATTTATCTATCTACACACGTAGACACTTACGGTCTAGGTCCCTCTTAGCCAATGGGATGCCAGGAAGGTGCGAGGTAATAGCCAATGGGAGAGCAGCTCTAGGTATGTTGCGTTCAGGAAAGTCGGAGCAGCACCCCATACAGGTCCTGTATTTTTACCTTTTATATCTTGAAATTTCTTTCGTAACAAGAGGCAATATTTTCCTGTTGAGGCATTTCATAAATTGAAAACTTCATATGAAGAGATATTCATAAGTAGAGGTACCACTGTACAAAAAAGTAACACGTTAAAAAGCATTTACAAGGTTAAATTAGTAGATTCTCATTTAGTCGTGCATAGATGACTCTCGGGGACTTTTTGATATTTGTTAACACCTTTTGCATCCTAATATTGTTTTTCTCTCATTAGGTAACTCTGATGAAAACATTAACAAAGGATAAATATAATTTTCCATGTGAGCGTTGGCTGGACACTAACGAAGATGATAATGAGGTGGTGAGAGAGCTTCCTGCCATGGGCCGGCAAATTGCTGACCCACGACCTTGTATGTATTCAGAAAATAATCGTACTGTACATCATTATACAACATTTGGACATTCTGGATGTTGGGTTCTGCAGTGATAAAGTACAGAGTGACCATTTGCACTGGGACCATCGGTGGCAGCGGTACGGACGCGTCGGTTTTTCTCAATCTGATCGGCGAGCACGGTGACACGGGAGATCGAGCGCTGGTCAACTGCAAAAATAACATCAACAAGTTTGAGAAGGGAAATGTGAGTAGATTCAGGCAGAGCCTTGCACGGATTTCTTTTACTCGAAGTCAGTGTGGTTTCACTCAACTAAAATGGGTGTTTGTTCAAAAGGCCAAATTGCTTTGGAAATTAGATTACAGTTTGTCATACTTATGACCCCATGAAAGAAGCTAGTCCATTTAATATAAACATGGCCTGAGTTTTGAATCTTAATGGCTGTGAAGTAGAATCGCCCAATTTGTGCCGTTGGAACCAAGTGTTGATGCCCCTGTTGCGCTGTGCCGTCCTCAGCTGGACGAGTTCATCGTCGAGGCCGTTGCCATCGGTCAAATTCAAAGGGTGAGAATTGGGCATGACGGCAAAGGCGGAGGCTGCGGCTGGTTTCTTGAGAAAGTCATCGTGAGAGAGGAAGGACAAGCTGAGGCGCACGCCATCGAGTTTCCCTGCAAAAGGTGAGCGGTGCATTCAGGCGGGTTGACGTCAATGTTGCTCTTCCGAAGCTTTTCGCACACGCTGTGTGTTGAGCAGGTGGCTGGATCGCAACGAAGACGACGGACAGATTGTTCGAGAGTTAGTCCCATTCTCCGACGGACAGCGCCTTTACAGTAAGAAAGTCAACTTTTTAAATGAATACAGTCAGATGGGCCCGCACTTCTTTGCACTTGCGCGTCCGTGTGTACGCTCCAGATGTCGGCTATCACATCGCAGTGAAGACAGGCAACACCCCGGGGGGCAGTTCGGACTCCACGGTTTATGTCAAACTCTACGGCGACAAAGGCGACACCGGTAAAATGATGCTGGTGGTCTCTGACAACAACCTGAGTAACTACTTTGAAACGGGTCACATTGACGTCTTCACTGTGGAAACCTCGGATATTGGACAGGTGAGATAATGGCGCCACATCCCCATGGAAAAGCCAACATCCGGCCTTTTGTTTGACCTCTCTCTCCAGATCAACCGGCTGATGATCGGACACAACAATGAAGGCATGCGGGCCGGTTGGTTTTTGGACAGCGTTCAGATCCTGGTGCCTCTGAATGGAAAGCACTACATGTTCCCGTGCCATCGCTGGCTGTCCAAGGGGGAAGCCGATGGCAAGACGGAGGTGGAGATTTACCCCAGTGAAATCTTGGACACGGAGCAATGTATGCAACCTTAATGCGGGAGTATGCAATTGTGAAAACAAAATCACGTCGTATTTCTTTGTCATATGTCGCACTCATTGCGGGGACACCACAGTCTGTCATGAATTAAAAAAAAAAAAATCTCTGAATGTTGACTCATTGTCATATTTATATTTTGAAACTGGTCATATCAAATAAACACTTTAGCGCTGTACCCACACGCAATTGTAATGCGCACGGCTGCTTTAATGCTACTCTTTCTTTTCAGTGATCAACTACGAATTGACAGTCGTGACTGGAGATGAGATGTTTGCCGGCACCGACGCCAAAGTGTTCATCCAGATCTACGGCGACAAAGGGAAGACAGAGGTCATCAAGCTCGACAGCCGATCCAACAACTTTGAGAGGAGGTCCACAGATATATTCAAGGTAACCTATGCTAAAAAAACAAAACAAAAAAAACAGCAAATGAAAGCAGTGGTGGGAAGTAACCAAGTACAAATACTTTATTAATCTACATTTTTCAGGTGGCTTATTTGAGTCGTTCTTTTTCCGGCCACTTTTGACTTTTTACGACCTACAATTGAAAGACGATTCATACTTTTTTCACTCCTTAGTTTATCAATATTGACTTGTTACTAATAAGTAGTCATTTTAACTGCCAGATAATAACACATTTCCAAAGAGCTTGTGTTGAAGTGAAAATCAAACTTATGTCAGTGCACTATACAGATATAGAGGGTCCCCTGGCTGGGTTTTCCTCAGACTCCTAGATGGCCAGCGACACCCCCGATTATACAATGATCTCTACTTTTACTTAATTACATTAGCCACCTCTGCCTAAAAGTGGAAGAAACAACCGCTCTTGTCACTACCGCTCCTCAAGATCGAGGCCAAAGACGTGGGCAAGGTGTTCAAGATCCGCATCGGCCACGACGGCTCGGGCGTCGGATCCGGCTGGTTCCTGGACACGGTGGAGGTCAGGTACCTCACAATGGCTGCGGTGCCCAAGGAGAAGAAGAAAGAGGACAAGAAGACGAAGAAGAAAAAGAAGAAGGATGAGGACGAGGAGGAAGAAGTGGAGGAAATGCAGGAAGGGGTGGTGACGTATCGTTTTCCCTGCTCGCGGTGGCTGGCCCGCGGAGAGGAGGATGGCGAGCTGCAGGTGGAGCTGCTGCCTGACGGAGCCGAAGAACTAGAAGGTAAAACAATCACCCCTATGAAGCGGTTCCCCTCCTCTGTACGGTGGTGTTTTGCGTACGAGTGACCCAACTTTCGACGACACTTGGATATCAATTTCAGTCGACAGCAGAAGTCGCCCATTGGCCAAAATGGCGGCTCCCTGAGTTGGATGAAAAATTAATCTGCGTAATGAAAGTATAATTGAGTAATTTTAAATTCAAAATACTATTTCAGTCACACGTATGGTATCTTATAGTACGGAGCGAACATCTGTTTTGATTTGACATTATTTCCTGCCTACAATGTAGGACTGTCACGATGCGTGGTGGTGGAGGACCCCAAAAAGCAAGCAGGAGGAAGGAGCAGGGTGAAGTTGACAAATTGTACAGTCAAACCTCGGTTTTCGAACGTCTCTGTTCTCGACCAAATCAGTTTTCGACCAAAAATTTTCGAACAAATCGGTTTTCGAACAGCCTTCTGGAATGGATTATGGTCGAAAACCGAGGTATGACTGTAAATAATAAACTGAGGAAAATAAATCCAAACAAACAAAGTCATGGAAACAAAAAGAATCCAAAGTAACAAACAAAAACCATGACTGAAGCAAAAAACTAACAGTAACAGAAACGTAACAGAAACATGACAGAAACAATGACCGGAAACTGAGTAGTCGTGCCGGTAGTCCTTTTCAACAACTACACGTACTGTAATGACACATCGACCAACAGGTGTGCAGCTGCAAGCGGAGCCCTACAGTGCCACCTGTTGGTCACAAACAGAAAACCATGACAAGAACAGACGTGTAGGTAATTTATCCCTTCTATTGTCTCGCAGTCAACACCTACGAAGTGTGCGTCTTCACGGGTGACGTGCTGGGAGCGGGGAGCGACGCCGACGTCTTCATTAATATTTACGGCGAGAACGGAGACACCGGAGAGCGCTGTCTCCAAAACTCCGACAACCTCAACAAATTCGAACGAGGCGAGGTACGTCGTCTCATCGCGATGCCTTTTTCTCAGAACGTTGTCTGTGCTGCAAACGAAGCGATGTTTGATCTCCACACCCCTTGAAACATGATCCAACCCCAAAGGTAGACTGGGACAATTCCTAAGCCTCTTGTCCTCCTGATACAACCAAGCCAGTTGTGACTGGGAGGAGCTAAGGTATCCACAGTGTCACTGAACCTGTCCTACTTTTACTCATTACGGGAATCCAATTTATGAATTATTCAAGCCGGCATCACACCTAACATTGCAGGCACATAAATCATGTCCTCACACAATTACGCTGGGTTTATTTCTTATCCATCACAAGATGGATTAGCACATTGCCGTCAAAAAAGTTTTGCGTGGAAAATGAGCTTACCGGCAGCGTTGTTCCATAAACCATTCCGTGTAGCGCTCGTGTTTAGGTCCAAGTTTAATTGTGTCACTTTGTGCTGCAGGAGGACGTGTTCATCTTGACAGCTATTGATTTGGGTCCTCTGAAGAAACTTCGGATCCGTCACGACAATACGCGGCCGTATTCATCGTGGTATCTGGATCGGGTGGAGATAGTGGACACAAAGGATGATACGACGTGGGTGAAACTTGATTTTTTTTTTTTTAATTTTTGTTTTTTCTAGGCTTTTTAATCTATGGGCTTGCAGGTACTACTTCCCGTGCAACCGATGGCTGGCCGTGGACGAGGATGACGGCCAGATCGCGAGAGAGCTGGTTCCTGTGGATGAGGCCTTCATGAAGAAGGATGAGGATGGGGAGGGAGGCGGAGCCACTCTGGGACTTGAACAGAAAGGTAACTCATTTCCAAGGCTGCTTCATGTGATAAAGCGGGAAAAGATAAAAGAGGACCCCTGTTTAAGTATTTATTCAAGTGGCACGGAGTTCTCTTGCTGCATTGCAGATTTTATTTGTCTATCACAGAAATCTATGGATGGTAGCAATCATTTTTATGGGTTTTTCCATTATACCGGATCTGCCAAAAGTCACTATACATTTTCGAAAGCTAAAATTGGCTACATCATCCTTAGTTAATCCAATTATTGATCAATCATCACTGAGAGGTTGAATTTCTCTTCCAGCTATGTCTACAACATATACAGTAAAAATAAAAACCGGAGAAAAGAAGTACGCGGGAACCGATGCGAACGTCTTTGCCATATTATTCGGAGAGAACGATGACACGGGTAAGAAAAGCCGTCAGCCTTCTGCGGGTGTTGTTTGGTTTCAACTCGGATTCATCTGAGATTCACTCATTATTGATAGGTGTCATCAACCTGAAGGCCTGTAAGAACTACAAGAACAAGTTTGAGCAGGGAGCAATCAACGAGTTCACCGTGGAGGCGGTGCACTTGGGCGAGCTGGAAAAGCTTCGAATTGGTCATGACAACTCGGGTACTGAAAAACAAAAGCGTTCTAGGATGATGACTAGTCAATAAAACCTGACCACCCAGCCCCCTCTTTAAAGGAGGATCACCTGGTTGGTTCTTGGACTGGGTAGAGATTGACGCCCCCTCCCAGGGTCTGAGGTTACGCTTCCCATGCGGCCGCTGGTTGGACAGAGGAGAGGACGATGGCGCCATAGTGAGGGATCTTTATCCAGCCGAGTTACAGACTGAGCTGTACACGCCGTGTGAGTGGACAGCAGACAGGAAATGTGCCCGTCGTGTGGTTGGACCGAATGCTGCAGCCAGTGAGCGAGCATGCCTTGACGGGCAAACCGTGACTCCACCGTCTTTGGACATTTCAGTTGTGCCCTACGAGCTGAAGATCTACACCAGCGACGTGTTCGGCGCGGGGACGGATGCGGATGTGTTCATCGTTCTGTACGGCCAGAAAGGAGTGTGTACTCTGCAGAAGCATCTGTGTGTCAACAAGAGGGAGAGGCGACTGTACTTTGAGAGGGGAGCTGAGGACATGTTCATCGTGGAGGTAGAGTCGCTTTGAATTCGGCCACTTGTTTGTTTTTTTTTTTAATCTCACCAAACCTGACGTTTGAACAAGGGTGTGTAGACTTTTTACACCCACTGTATGTATTCTGTGCCAGTTGGAAGACGTCGGTGACATCATAGAGAAGATCCGAGTCGGTCATGACAACAGGGGCTCCAATTCTGGATGGCACCTCGACAAAGTGGAGATCAGACGCCTGCTGAGGAAAGGAAAGGTAGCACCAAAAACAACCATAGATAAACACACTCTTAAATTGAATAACACACTCGGGGCCCTATTTCAATGACAGGGTTCCGAGACGACCATTTTCCCGTGTGAGCGCTGGTTGGCTAAATCAGAGGATGACGGGGAGACGGTGAGGGAGCTGGTCCCGTCGGACATCATCACAGAAAAACTCCTCAGGGGTGGCACTCTAAAGCGCACTGAAACTGAGGTGGAGGATGCATTGGAAAGTGAGCTTAAACCCCAAATTCGATGCATCACTTAGACACGGGCAGAGTATAAAAAGTAGTTTCGAAAAAAAAATTCATAGAGTAGTATCAGAGACCATCATCACCGAATGGCCGGCTGTTGGCGAAAAAGCAGTTCTGTTGTGAACCAGTCCCTGGCGGAAAAAAAAAATGTTTGAAGATGCAAAACGCTCGGAGGCCATTGTGAGGCTTAAAATTAACAAAAAAAAAATTTCTATTGTACATTGTGTCATGTTTCCAGTAGCCATTCAAAGTCCTCGAGAATTTTTTAAAAAAGTGTAACTTCTTATTTTCAATATTTCATATCCACATTGACTTTTGATACCATTTTAATCAATATGTATGTTTTCAATCCTGGGCAGTATTTAGTGTATCATAAAAACAAAGAAAAAAAAAACGTTTGGGCAACTGATAGTTTGACAGCCAAGTGAGGCAGGCCGTCCACATCAAGGTTGAGAAACCATCTCTGAACGTGGGAGGGGGCTTACGACATCTCCAACATGCAATGCTGTCCCGTCAACCCTCCTAATGAGATTGAATATTAACAAATATCCAACTCTGTGTTCACAAAATGTTCACTAACGTGTTCTTCCCATGCCAGCTCACACGTACCAGGTGTCCGTACGCACTGGTGACATGTACAAAGCAGGAACAGATGCCAACGTCTTCCTCACCATCTATGGAGATCTTGGAGACACGGGAGAGCGCAAACTCTCCAGATCTGACAACAACAGGAACAAGTTTAAGAGAGGAGAGGTATTAGAGTGAAGACTGAAAAAAAAAAAAAGTTGTTGTCACTTTTGAATGCTATTTGGTTTCTAGGTGGACAAATTCACCATTGAAGCGGTAGACCTGGGTCAGGTGTTTAAGATCCGAATTCGTCACGACAACTCCATGATAGGGGCCGACTGGTTCCTGGACCAGGTGGAGGTGCTGGATGTGGACACGGAGGAGGTTTACATGTTCCTGTGTGAGCGCTGGCTGTCGAAGAAGAAGGAAGACAAACGTTCGGAGAGGACCTTCTTTGTCAAGGTTCATGAAAGGTGGTGAGCCAAATAAAGAGCAGACCGAAACACGGAACTGACACCAAATGTTTGCATTTCAGGGCTATAAAGGTGAAAGAAATAACGATTCAAATTTGGAAATGATGGCTCAAGCTAAAATGGGGCTGGACCGGAATGCAAACAAGAAGAAGAAGAAGAAGAAGATGGCAGTGGTGGAAGAAGCGCCAAGTGAGAATGAAAACGATATCTTCCATTGTAGCAATTATTATACACAGTATGCATCCCGTGCCCTCAGCCCACCCCCCCCAAAAAAAAAAAGCACAACATTGTACTTTATATAAATAGCACCGCTACATAAATGCTATCTAGCGTTAGCCTTAAGCTAGCAGACTGAGCGACGAAGCCGTGTGGTTGTTTTCAATACATAAAGGATGTAATTGTTTTTGTTTGATGTTTAGTTTGACAGTAAACTTCATCTGGGAGTGGTAAGAAAGCAATTGAAGCTACTTTTTGGAAGATTTGTTTCTTTTTTGCTGAACTGATATGAGAGCTTGTATCTAAAAAAAAAAAAACCTCGTAAGACCAGTCACTCGTATCTCAGGGCACCATTGTAGATATTCCGGACTCATAAATTCTGTAAATATTATGATACGTTTGTCAGATGTAAATTTCATGCATAAACTGATTGTATCCCCATTAAGGCTTTTGACATTCCTTATCAGATTTCAATGCACAGAAATCCAATTTCAGAATGTATCCACAAATCAAAAAATATGACGCAAATCTCCAAAGTTGTTATTTGTGTGAAAATCAAAATTGGGTTTCTTGTCAAATTTGCTCAGGGGCGACTGATCAACTCTTATCATTGTACACAACCAGTGAAGAAGTGATGGTAATGACATTGAAAGCACAGATTACAAACCGCTACTTTACCCTTGTGTGGCTCCCAGTCATCCCGTATCACTTCACTCTGTCCACTGGGCTGGAGCGCGATGCCAGCACCACCGCCAGGGTCTACGTCATCATCATCGGTCCCGGAGAACTGGAGACGGACCGGCTGTGGCTCGATCTGCCAGATGGGAAGAAATCCTTCGCAACTGGCAGCATGGAGCATTTTGTGCGCTATGGAGCCGACGTGGGAGAGATCAAGCGAGTGGAAGTGAGAATCTGGGACTTTGTTCTAAACACACAGCACTATTTCATTTCTCTCGACATTTCATGATAGCCAATATAAGGACAGAGAACCTCCTCTGTTTCTTCCTGAATGTCATTCCAGATAAAATATGCAAGATCGAGACATTTTTTTGACAGATATTTTATTCTTCGCACAAACTATAAACATATTTGAACTGATTTCTGGTCCGCTGATCCCCACAAGGGTCTCGGGGCGTGCTAGAGCTTATCCCAGCTGTCTTCGGGCAGTGACGGGGGACACCCTGGACCAGTTGCCAGCCAATCGCAGAGCACACATAAACAAAACAACCACTTATGCTCACACTCACACCTAGGGACAATTTGGAGTGTTCCATTAACCTGCCAGGAATGCTTTTGGAATGTGGGAGGAAACTGGAGTACCCGGAGAAAACCCACGCAGGCACGGGGAGAACATGCAAACTCCACATAGGAAGGTCGGCGCCGGAATTGAACCTTGCACCCCTGCACTGTGAGGCAGACGCGCTAACCAATCAACCACCGGCTGCCCTATTTTATTCTTATCATTCTAAAAGAATAAGAAAAGATATTCTAATTTTGGAGTGTACACCTTGTATTGCCACAACACTGACACGTACAAGTCATATTCCAAAAATGTGAATGTATAAAAACATGTATATTGTATATTTGTTTTTCTCCTTCCATTCCTCAGCTCGGCCACAACGGCGCCACCCCAGAGAGTTGCTGGTTGGTGGACGAGCTGGCGATCGGCGTGCCCACCAAAGGCATCCAGTACAGCTTCCCGTGCAAGTGCTGGCTGGCGAAGGATCGGGGCGACGGTCTCACCGTCCGACTGTTCAACGTGCTGGACGCCAGCATCATCAGCATCAGCCGCAAAGTGAGTGTCGGCCAATGCGTCAGCTCGTCTTGATACGTGGGCGATAACTTGAAAAAATTCACTTTTTGGCGGATAGGTGATTTATTCCACGGCGGTTGTCACGGGTGACACACAGTATGCCGGCACAGACACCAACATTTTCCTGAGTGTGTTCGGAGCCAATGGGAGCACGGAAGAAATTCTCTTGCCCAAGAATGAGGACAGGTGTGTATCTGAATCAAATCTGGAAGATACCAAAGAGTGCTTCTTTTTAAAACGGCAAATTTAAATATTTTTTATTATTCTCATAGTATGACTGTACCTATGATTTGAAGTTAAAAAAAATTGAAAAAAATTCCTAGTATAATTTTTCTTTTAACTTTACAACTTCATGAATGCAACCTCTTTTTCGTTTTTGATCAATATTAAGGCCTAACGTCGGTCATCATTGTAGCGGTACTTCGAGAGTGTGTTGATCCTTTAAATATTTTGACTTAAACATGTCACAGACATTTCATTAAGACATCTGGAAAATGTTTTTTCCAAATTTTCATTTGTGTGAAAATGACATTTGCCTCCTTTAAAATAACGTTACGGGACTTAGGTTTGAGAGAGGCCAAGAGGACACATTCAACCTGGAGGTGGACGACATCGCCCCACTAAAGAAGATACGGGTGAGGATTGATGGCAGTGGGAGTCGTCCCGATTGGTTCCTCGAAAGGGTAACTTCCGATTATGAAAATAATATCCCAAATACATTTTTAACCCATACAGTTTACTGGGGTTGATGTATTTTTTAAATTTAGATCCTGTTGCGGAACCCCATCACGGAGGAGGTGTACACGTTCACCTATGAGAACTGGCTGTCAAAGAGCAAAGGTCCCAGAAGGACTCGCGTGTGCGAGCTGGCGGCCGTGGTGGACGGGAAGGAGATGGTGGAGAAAACCACCTACGTCATCCAAGTCCAGACCGGTGATGTCACAGGTGGTTCGCGCTCAGATCTACTCTTCTGCTCAAATTGTTCCATCCATCCTTTTTCCATTGCACTTGACCATCTGAGAGTCTATTTGAGATCATGTTGGGTGTCACATTCTTCAGGCGCTGGAACGGACGCCAACGTGTGTCTGATGGTGTTCGGGGAATTTGGCGACACGGGGACTCTGCCGCTGAAGGAGAGTGCCAACAGGAACAAGTTTGAGCGCAAAATGAGAGACGTGTTCCACTTCCCCGACATGCTCAGTCTGGGAGAGCTCTCCAAAGTGCGAGTTTGGCACGATAACAAAGGTAACGATGACAGAATGAATATTTTTAATAAGATGCAATTCATGGATTATCCGCTAATGGAACACTGTTTTGATCAGAGAAGAAGACAACAGCAGTCTCAGTCTGTCACTGAGACAGACCCAACACAGCAGTAAAAGCCAGCTACCTAATTGCTAGCGAAATAGCATAGCGAAATATTATAGCAGAGAGGATTTCGGACCTATCAGCAGATTTAGTCATTTTGTCAAATGTTTTGTAAAAGATAAGTTCGTTAAATTTCAACATTTTCCTTATGTTCTTATGCTTCTTTATACCAAAACAAAGGAAAGACATGATATTGTGATTATTAATTGCAGAGTATGGAGTAATTTTAATGGTCCTCCCCACTTGACATCTACCGAGGCCGTATATGGCCCACAATGTGAAATGAGTTTGACACCCCTGGGTTACAGGGTGCATGAAAGATTTAAGGTTGCTTTTTTTTTTTTTTTTTAAATATGTACTTCTGTTCCTCTGTTTCTGTGTGTCGTTTTTGATTAAAAAAATAAAAAATAAAAAAAAGGTATGGCTCCGGGTTGGCACCTGGACTACATCGACGTCAAAGATGAGAGCAAGGCTCAAACGTTCAGGTTTCCGTGCGACCGCTGGCTGGCTAAAAACAAAGATGACGGCCAGATCATCAGGGAGCTGGCGTGTGCCAACAATGATGCCGTGGACCTCAGCGACAAAACAAGTCCGTAACTTCAAAAATAAATAAATAAAATAAAGGGATGACAGGAACAAATCATCCACGTGACGGTGTGTATTTGCTTTGAAACAGAATATGAAATTACCATAACCACCGCCAACACGGAGGATGCATCCACCAATGAAAACGTCTGGATTATTCTGGAAGGAAGGAAAGCCCGCTCCAAGGAGTTTGTTCTGGAGAATAAGAAGAACAAATTTTCTTGGTGGGTATTTAACCCTTTGCGGGACAGCGGTTACTACAGTGGACAGCTTAGCATGTCATCAGGTTGCAGGATACATGAAAAGGTTAAACATCAACGCTCAAAAAAATTGGCAATGAGTCGCTCAAATGTGTTTCTTTTATTTTCGTGTCTTATTTGACAGCGGCGCCACTGACACCTTCGAGTTCTCGTCCAAGCATGTGGGTGAGATCGCCGGCATCTGCATTGGACATATCACCAAAGACGGAAAGAAGGTGAAGAGTGAATCCTTGTGGCACGTGGCAGAGGTGGTGGTGACCGAAAAAGAGCTGGGCAACAAGTGAGTGACATCCTTTCAGTGATTCTTGTCTGGCGCACTTGCGCACTGACAACCAATACAAATGCTTTGTATTGGTTGTCAGGGTTTTTGCTGTGATTCAGAATTTCTACTTTTGGTGAATGATGTTGCATAAAAAGAAAAAAATGCAGATGAAAGCCAACGAAATTTCCAAAAATGCGCCAAGCTTAAGGTTCGAAATTGAGTTTTGCTATAATCTTCAACTATATTTGTATTTTCTTGTGGCGAGAAAGCAAAGCGTGGAGAGTCTCTGTCGGAGCGTCTCAGTCGCGGAAAAGCCTGGCAGTGAATGGGGCTGTCGATTGTTGCCAACAGCTTTTCAAAATATCCGCACTCTCCTCTTTATTCTTGACCATGTCCTCTCTTAGATTCAATATGCTACTTCCTTCACCATGTTTTTATGGTTCAAAAGAAAATAACACAGTCCAGAAGTATATTATGTTTAAAGCCTCAACACCCGATTGCAGGTTTTTTTGTTGCGGCCATTTGGTAGGCGTGCAGTCCTCAATCCCAATTATATTTTTATTACAATAGTCCACTTCAGAGCCACTTGGGGTCAAATATCGAAAATTCGCCGTAGTTGCCTTGCAGACTGTGAAAGCAGAATATTTGTATTGGATCTCATTAAATTGCGCAGGTGTACCTCTTGAAGTGTCCAGTGACGCGAGCTAATGAGTCGCATTCTTCAGGTATTTTTTCCAGTGCGATGCCCGAGTACCCCTGGCATCCGAAAAGGATCAGTTCCACAACTTTGAGTGCTACAAGTCAATGGAGAGCTTTGCCAGCAAAGTGCGCAACCTGGTGGCCGTTAAGTACGAGATCATCGTGATCACAGGCGACGTCAAGGACGCCGGCACGGACGCCAACGTCCACATCACCGTCTACGGCGTCAACGGCGACTCGGGCCGGCGTCGCCTGCGCAAGAAGTTCCGCAACCTGTTCGAGCGAGGCCGCGCGGACCGTTTTGTGGTGGAGATGCTGGATCTGGGCGAGCTGCTCTGGGTCAAGGTGGAGCACGACAACAGCGGCTTCAACCACGGATGGTTTCTAGAGTGCGTGGAGGTTACCAACCTGGCCAACTCGGTCACCACCGTCTTTCAATGCGCCAAGTGGCTGGACAAGGGCAAGGCCGATGGCCGCACTGAGCGGGTCCTTTACCCCAAGTACTAGATGACCTATTCTCAATCGAAAAAGTCTACACACCCCATATACAAATTCCAGGTTTTTGTGATACCAACCAAAAATCTGATCAAATCATTTCAAACCTTTTTTTGCACCAGAAATGTAAACGATAACCTATACAACACAATTTAAAATAATAATGACATCTTTTAGAATGGGGAAGTATAAATAAACTGAGATCATGTGGTTGCACAAGTGTGCACACCCTCTTACAACCGGGGATGTGGCTGTGGTCGGAATTCACCAGTCACGTTTCGACTCATAAATGGGAGTCAGCACGCACTGCTGCCACCATTTGAAGGGCCTCGGATGAATCCAGAAATTAAGATCAGATGTTCTAGGAGGCTTTTCCTGACATTTTTTGACTGCCATTTAGAACTGTTCACATTTGCCTCCATGTTGACAAAGGCCAGGGCTCCACACGGTTTTTACTCGGAGCACAGAGGCTCCCAACTTGAAATTTTTAGGGGCACTAAAATAAAATGAAGGGGCACACACACTTGCAAAGTAAATATTCCCATTTCCACTGAATTACTGATAACTGGGCTGAAACGTGGAGCAGAAATTTGTAAAATATTCAACAATAATAATTGCAAAATGTCAATTTAAATTTACTGGTAGCACATGAGTGACTTGATGAAGTGACGGGCATTGTCTCAAATGTTAGGGGCAAAATGCCACCATTTAGGGGCAGTGTGAAGCCTTCACTAAGAGCCTTGACATTGTGGTATGGGGATCCTTTGGGGCTGTTTTTCCTTCAGCTGGAATTGGGGCCTTAGACAAGGTGGAGAAGAATATAAAGAGTCCAAACTACCAAAACCTCAGGGTTTTACTAGGACCCAAAAATGTCAGGAAAAGCCTACTAGAACATCTGAAATGTATTTGGAGTCAATCAGAGGCAGTTAAATTGTTCACCAGTGTTATTCAATTTATTTCTTCTCAGGAAATCTTAAAAGTTAAAAAAAAAAGAAATTTATCCTTGTGTCCTTGGCAGAGGTAATAACCTGACATAACTTGTTCTTTCATTATAAGTTTGTGCCAACACTTAATAAGACACTGATCTGATCGGTACCTTGCTTATTATTGACATAAAATGTCTTAATTTTTTTTATTTTGGCTGTTTGTTGAAATAGGAGGAAAAAAAATCAATTCAACCAAGGATATACACATATTTTGAATACATTTTATTCATATTTGAATGGGTTTAACTTTTTATTCGGCTGTCTTCATTTATTACTTTAAAAATTTTCAGTAAAAGTTTGTCACTAAATGTGTGATGGCAATGACGTGTACAGCTTGTGTGCTGTCATTTTGCGCTCCTCATTCAAGGACGATGAATAAATGGATCAGAAAAGGTGCCTTTGTCGTCAGCATTTTAGGCGTTTTATTTGAAAAACACATAGAAAAAGATCATATACAAGACAATAAATAAAAAAGAGACAGAACAGTTTGGGTTAAGCTATGCAACTTTTTGCATTGTCATTAGTAATAAATACAGTACAAAAATCCACCCAGAGTGAATCTAAAGGTTCCTTTTTTTTTTTTGTCTCCACAATATTCATCACCGATCAATGTTATTCTTCATTATGATTTAGCTATTGCTTTTCATATTATTGATGATACATACTTCTACTTCTCTATAAAATACTCAAGATCATAAAACATTGCGCGGTTACAGCAAAACAGCAGGGTGTTGTACAAAGATGGCCACTTCCCTTTTTCACTGGCAGGTTAATAATCATAATCCACATTGTTTTTTTTTTTTGTCGTTTTTTTGTCGTTGTTTACTGTCAGCAGCAAAGAAAAAGAATATTCAAGAAGTTATACAGCATCATATGAAAGACATCTAAAACAGCTACTCCCACATACACATAGGAAAACCTGAGAAGGACATGCATTGAAAAAGCTTGTGCTTTCAAAGTTCTACTGTTTCGTCAGCTGGACTTCATGTAATACTATGGCTACGCTCCGCTTGGCTCGGGAGCAACACACGGAGGGGGGGTGCAGGGGGGGTTGGGTACACTGCGGCGGGCATACGCGGGCTAAGGCCAGTGAGAGCACACAATAATCATTCGAAAATGCTAACCAAAGGAAAAAAAAAATACAATAATAATAAATAGTCAAGACTAGCCCGCCAGCTTCGTTCTCTTTCAATATTTTGTTTTCCCTTTTTTTTCTTTTTTTTAAAATCTCCAAAAGAATTTTTTTTTTCAGTATTGGGAGGAAAAGCACACCGAAAAAGTTAGCTTATAACATCCACACTCCGTTTACATTTGTGTTTTTTTAATTTTAAATATATATTTGTCGATAATGGCTCAAGTTAGCATGTTAGGTAAGTAAAATACAAGCCCCCCCCCCCCCTCCCATT